GATCTTCACCACTAACTATAATTTTTAAGAAAAATATTTCATCAAATCATCACAAAATGAAGTGAAGCACAAAATGTTTGCAATTAATTGGCTTGCAAGGTTGCTATAGTGCCTTTATTTTGCATTTATTTATGGCCCGACGAGAAAAATGATAAAAATAATAAAATGATGAGACTAATATATAACATGTTATGTATCACTCCTAATAACGGTTCCTCTGTGACAGGCGCAACAAGATTAACTATAAAAAAGGATATTAATAAGAAATAAATTTGAGAAAGTATTTTAAAGAATCATGCGTATATTAAAAATAAATAAATAAATAAACTTGTGTCCTTCAAATATGACGATTATGCTCTACTCATATCACTCAATTACATCTTTTGTTGGATTACTGTGCTTTTGAGGCAAATCATGTGATTTGTTTTGTATTATGTGTTGGAAGAAATCAAAGAGTTATATATGGAGGGTCCTAGGGTTTGATAAATTTTTAGGAGTTTTTGCAAGTATGACTAGGAAATAAATGATGGGAGAGAAGGAAAAAAAGAAAAAGAAAAAGAAAAAAAAAACAAAGAAAACAAATTTGTCAGTAAAAATAAAAAAAATAATAGAAGTAGTTACTCGCTTAGAAGGCGCGTTCAGTACACACGCTTTCTGGGCGCGCTTGTGAGCTCAACATGAAAGAAAATCAAAGTTTTATAGCTTTTCTCTCTCCACTCCTAAGGCCCACAAAAAATCAATTCTCATGCAAATATAATTTCTTATCTCTCCTCTCTCCTCCAAATCATATTCTCTTATTCCAAGTCATGAAAAAAAATTATTGATCTGATATAGTTGCTCACAATTTACATACTCAATGTTCACAAATTGTGTACATACAACATATAAATTGTGAATTTTGACCCGGTCTACCTTGCAAGGTGGACTCGGGTCAATGGTATAACTATTGAATGCAAATGCTTGTTCAATCGTTATATCGTGTACCAGGTGCACAATGCCACTTGTGTACCCTTGCCCAAAACGACGACGTTTTTATAAGTTGGTGGGGAGTTGACGCGACAGACACCTTTACGTCCAATCCCGTTACAGTTTTTTTTAACACTTGTGTTTATGTGTATTATGTTTAGAGTTTATGTGTATTATGTTAAGAGTATATGTGTATTTTTAACACTTGTGTTTATGTATATTATGTATTATGTTAGGAGTTTATGTGTATTCTACTATACAATCCTGTACATACGAAATAGAGAATTTTTAGAAACAGAATTTCTAAAAAGAACCGTTCAGGATGTACAATGCATTGTGCACCGCAAATTATGTCCTGGAAACGTGTTCACCATGAATGGTGAACACGGGTCGAAATAGTGTCGTTTTTACGGGATTTTTTTTTTATAGTTAATGTGCTGTTAACGACGCACGTTTGTTCAGATTATAAATTTTCTGTTATGAGATTATGAATGTACTGTAAATTCATAATCTCATAACAGAAAATTCATAATCGCATAAAAGAAAACTCATAATCTCATAAAAGAAAATTCATAATTTCATAACTGCACATTCATAAATCCATGCCTGCGCATTCATAATTTATGAATGTTGAAGAAACTTGCGCGAAATATGAAAATAAAGAAGAAAAATTGTGCGATTAATTAAAAAAAAAATGATAACGGTACACCGTTACCGTTGGGACCGTGTTCACCATCCATGGCGAACACGGCAATTTATATCCTACACCACGGCGGGCGTTGCACTGTACGCCCAGATGCAAAACGATGTCGTTTTAATTTATTTATTTTTTTTGAAATTTCTCGCCCCAGTGAATGGCAGTAATTTTTTCTTTAAAAAAAACTCGCTGTTCAAAATGTACATAATGTTATACTAGAATACACATAATTGTATACATGAATGTACATAATTATATAACAAAATATACATACTCTTTTTAAAAGATAATACACATAATCTAACATAATACATAATAAACATAAACTTTTAACATAATACACATCAACTCTTAACATAATACACATAAATTTTCTGATTCGGATGTACATAATTGTATAAAAAGAATGTACATAACTGTATGAACAAATACACATAATTGTGTGAACAAATACACATAATTGTGTGAACAAATACACATAATCACAACAACTTCCTACCGCGCCTCCCAAAACGACGTCGTTTTGGGAGACGCGCGGCGCATAGTGCTACGCGCGCCGTGGTGTAAGATATAACGATTGGGTGAACACGGTTCCATGGCATAACGATTGATTGTGCGCCTGCACGATGTAATTTGCCATGCTTGTTCCCTTTTAAGTTTTAGTGGCTTGTAGGCCCAATGAGTATTCTCTTCTAGGGCTTCAAATAATAGAAATGCAATGTGGTTGGACAATTCATTTGGATAAGAAGTAAAGGAGTAGTTATGCCGAGCAATCGTGGTGCACACGGTTATAAAAACGATGTCGTTTTAACGTTCAATTTTTTAAAAAAAATTTAGTTTCAATTGCCGTTAACGGCGTTATGTTGTGCATAATTTGAACTATACATCCATAACTTCATAATTATACATTCAAAATTGCATAACTACACATCCATAACTTCATAACTATACATTCAGAATTGTATAACTACACATCAATTAACTTCATAACTATACATTCAGAATTACATAACTACACATCCATAACTTCATAACTATACATTCAGAATTCCATTCATAACTACACATCCATAACTTCATAACTATATATTCATAATGTGAAATTATAAAATTATGAATATATATTTAGATAACTAATCGCAATCAAAAATGATTTTTTTTTTAAGTAACATAATTTGCCGAAGTAAAGAGTGCATGATTTGAATTTTGGCGTTGACAAAAATAATGAGAAAATGATTACAACATTCTCACATTGAGGACCGATTAGCAATTAAATCACTTGCTTCCAAAGAATCTACTGAAACGGGTTGTTGCTAGGGCTGAAAACACAATTATAGTGTTTAATTGCATTTCAGAAAATTGTTTTAATGTGTTTGGTTTATTTTTTTGAAAAATGAGCAGGAAAGAAAATAATCAAATACTTTAAACTTTATTTTGTCAACTCCAAAAATAAAATCAGCGATCGACGCCAGTTGCATTCAACCAGAAAGTGAACACAACCGGTTGGTCGCCTTCCCATCTCAGAGAAGGCGACCACTCCATCGAAGAAGATGACAAACTGCTCACCCTCTCCAATGGAAGATGACCAGTTGGTCACTAATGAGATAGATTGGAAAAGATGACTGAGGAAGAATGTTGGAAAGGTGAAGAAAAGAGACTTGGAAAATGACTTTTCTTTATAAAAAAAAATAAAAAGTTATTTTCTAGAATTTTCTTTTAGAAAAATAAGGTAATTTTTTCCTTTGATCGGAATTGATTTTCCATGATTTTTAATTTTCTAAACTTTACAAAACACTGGAAACCCAAAAAATAATTTCAAAAATTATTTTATGTGTTTCTAAACACACCCTTAGTTGGGCTGGACTTCTTCTTCTTCTTCTCTTTTTTTTTTTTTTTTTTTTTTTTTTTTGAAAATAGTTGGGCTGGACTTTGGGTAAATATACATAGGTAAACAGTTGGGCTGGAATTTGGGTAAATATACTTAGGTATGATATGTGAGATTAAAGTTTGAAATAAAAAAGAATAATGGTCAAATAGGTCACTCAACTGTACGTCAAAGTGTATTGTATTCATAATTTCATAATTATACATTCATACTTCCGTAACTGTAAATTCATAATTTTCGAAGCTCTATGTTCACAATTTTAGAGCTCTATGTTTATAATTTTATCACTATATTTTCATAATAGTAAGTTCATAATGTCAGAGCTCTGTGTTCATAATTCCATAACTGTACATTCATAATTTTGTAACTGTACATTCATAATTTCGTAACTGTACATTCATAATTCAATAATTGTAAATTCATAATTTTCAAAGCTCTATGTTCACGATTTTATCACTATATGTTCATAATTGTAAGTTCATAATGTCAGAACTCTGTGTTCATAATTCCATAATTCTATAACTGTACATTCATAATTCTACAAACGAATAACGCCGTTAATGGCGAGACAAAATCAATTTTTTTAAAAAAAACTGGAATGCCAGGAAAAACGACGTCGCTTTGGACTCGTATCCATAATGCATTGTGGGCACGAGTCCACAGCATAATTTGCGCCAAAGTGCAATTAGATCATTGAACTAAAAAAAATACAATTGAGCCATTGAATAATACAAAAACATGTAATTTAACATAAAATAACCTGTTTATCTGATGTAGCAAGTTACCGATTTTAAAGTTAATTTTTTAAAATAATTTTAAATAAATAATTAATTAAAATATTATTTAAAAAAAAAAAAACAGAAACTGCCTGTTGGATACGATGCCGGCTTCTCCATGGCCGTAGACGAACCTCCACCTCCATGGCCCGGAGACGAACCTCCCCCTCCAGCCATGGAGACGAAGGACCGTCCCTTCGTCTCCGGCCAGCAGTTCCTCTTTTTTTTTTTTTATTATTTATTTTATTTTATTAATTATTAATTATTTAAAATTATTTAAAAAAATTAATTTTAAAATCGGTAACTTGCTACATCAGGTAAACATGTCATTTTGAGCTAAATTGCATATTTTTGTGTTGTTCAATGGTTTAATTGCATTTTTTTTTTTTTTTTTTAGTTCAATGGCTCAAATAGATTTTTTTTTTTTAGTTTAATGGTCTAATTGCACTTTGGTGTGCAGTTGAATGGTCTATTTGATCTTTATTTCAAATTAAAAACAACTAATACATCACCTGCCAGACACCTTGTGCTCAGATGACATGAGTAACATTTTCTATTTAGGAGGTCATGAGAAAGTGTCAGTGAAGGTCTAATAACTTAGAAACTACAATCTAATAGATATACCATTAAAAAAAAAAAAAAAAAAAAAACACCACCACCACCTCACCCATTTTTACAAGGGTGGTATTTTATTCTTCGTAAAGATGGGCAAAGTCGCCGGCGTCATCAAAGGTCGCCGCTGGACCCTCAGGTTCGATCCGTTGCCGCTGGAACCTTTCCCGCTACTTCATCTACCTACAGCTCGAGCCTGCTCGCTGGAATCTCAAATCTCTATGGCGGCGGCGGCGACGGCGACACCACCAAGCGCCGACTCAGAAAGACTTGCCTCCCCCTCCCTCTGCCTCGGTCTCCTCTTCCTCACTGTAAACTTTTGACCTCTCTTGTTATATCCAAGTTCTAGTGTATGCCAATAATAATGCTTCTTCAGTTGATTGATGAAATTGCCAAGAAATTTTGAAATCTTTCATTTGTGATGATCATGACTGTTTTCAGGGCTTTATTTCAATTAAATGGTGGGATTTTGTTGCTTCATTTTTTGTTGTGATTGAAGCTGGTATTCTTATGCTATGATCATTGGAAATTTCCATTGTTGGGGAGTTTTTATGCTAAAAGAAGGAAATAAATTGTTAAGGATAAGAAAAAGCACTAACATAGTTCTAATAGCAAGAAAGGTGGTTTTTTCAAAGTGTGTTACCACTAAGTGAATGGTCAAGGTGATTGCTTTGATAAAAAGTGGAATTTTTTTTCCTTCCCAGTAGAAAAATGCGAGGCTTTAAAGGATTTAACCAATCTGAAAAGATGGTTAACCCATGGCTAGCATCTTTAGCCCCTGATAATATGCTTTTTAGACAATGAAGAGTGCTGTCTGTTCTCATAATATGTGGATTACATCAGATTCTGTACGCTAAAGAAAGAACTCATAAATGTCTGGGAGCAATTAACATGTCACTTTGTTTTTTATTTTCTAACGAAACTACTACATATTGCTAACTGTGCTGTGTATTCTAGGCATTCCACTGATCGTGAGGTTGCTATTATGATTTGTATGGCTTATTTATCATATATGCTCTCTGAAGTAAGTGTTCCTAAACATTCTCAGCTCTGTTAAATTTAGTTTCTTACTATTTGTCATGGAGTAATTAGGAGTGTAATTATTCTTGCACTGACAATTAATATTTTGCAGTTATTTTCTTTAAGTGCCATCCTCACTGTCTTCTTCTGTGGGATTGTGATGTCACATTACACCTGGCACAATGTCACTGATTGTGATGTCGAATTGAAGTGCTGGAGAAACTTGCTTGTTTAGTGGTGAATTGCTGAGGATTTTATAAAAGGAGTTGGGGAAATGGGAGTTGACGCTGGGACACTATTGTCGAAGATGAATCTGTTAACAGCCTCCGATCATGGCTCAGTGGTGAACCTATTTGTGGCTCTTATCTGTGCGTGTATTGTTATTGGCCATCTCTTGGAAGAAAGCCATTGGATGAATGAATCCATTACTGCTCTCTCAATTGTGAGTTGGAATGTTTAGTGTTTGTGTGTGCGTGCCAGTTTCCATTGATTGCTTGATTGCTGTTGAGAATAAGTTAAGTTCTGTTTTTCTTCCATGTATTTTGGTTTTCTGGCTGTCAGGGAATATGTACTGGCGTTGTTATTCTAGTTACCTCCAGAGGAACAAGCTCGCATATTTTAGTTTTCACCCTTTGGCTATGGAGTATTATAGAAAATGTGAAAATGACCAAATATCTAAAGTTGAAAATCTTGTTTAATTTAAGATAATCTCAAGAGGTCTGTTTTTGAGCAAGAACTTAGGTGGTTAGAAATTATGTTGTATCTGATAATAGTTTCTTTTATCTTCATTTTGCAAACTTTACATTACATTTTGAGTTAGTTTGCACACTTTTTCTCAATGAAGCCTTATTTTATCAATCACAGAAATTTTCTCTTTGAAGCAGTATTATCTAATATATTTTGTTTTAACTGGCTGCTACTATTACTTAAATTGCATCAATCACTCATTTTCATTTTAACCCTTTGCAATGTTGACAGGTTTCAGGTGAAAAAGAAGCAATGTTTTTTGTAATATCTCAACTATTATGCTTTTTGGAGCACTTGGTACCTTGATATCCTTCATCATCATATCATTGGGTAAGCTACTGTGTCTACATGTATTCCTTGTAATTTTTGTTAAGTATGCTAAAACTTCTGAATCATCGCCATTAACATTCACAGTCTCTTTCTCTATATGTGTCGATAAAATTTTGGCTTAGTGTGCAATATAATATGTTGTAGTGTTGATAGTTATGTGTTGAGAAAGTTTGGAGTACAGTGTTGATAGAATAAAATTTTGACAGTGTTGATGAGTTGATTATATTGGTTGGATTGTAGTCACTGTACAGGAGAAAATTGTATTATTAACAAATTAATATTTTTTTTGAAAATTAACAATAGGCGTATGTTCCTGGATAGGAACAAACACTTTTTTTTTTGGTTAAATAATCACAAAGATTGAATAAGGTAGCGTCGAAATTAAGCTTAGTCGTAGGTTGTATTTGAGCTGGCCTATTTTACCTCCTAGATGTTGAGAATCCAAATGTCGGATTTGGGTGCTTAGTAGATTCTGGTCTTAAATCTTTCCAAAACGGGTTTTATGGTCAATTTCAGTCTTTCAACATCTCCATCGTCAAGATTTTGTGCCAATGTGTAAAATTTTCTCAGAGTCAAATTAAGGTGGAAATTGTGCTCCATTCTAGTGAATTGTTCATTGGAATAATTGAAGTGATTTTTATCCTATTCATCATTTAGTTAAAGTGTTGTCGTTGATTTGGTATTTCACAGGAAAGGTTGCCATGGAAGGGAGAATTGAACATAAGTTTGACATGAAGCCTCACATTAGGAATATGGAGGAATACAGGAAATTCGTGAAAGAACAAATAAGTTGATGATTAAGAACAGACAGATACAGGTAGAGTAGATTATAGATCGTTCTACTGTTTGTAACTTGGCAGCTCCCACCATCATGGTTTAAAAAGGCGCGCCTCAGTACGCCTCAAGGCGAGGCGGTAGGGTATAGCCTTGAGGCGTCCGCCTCTCAGGCAATGTTAGAGGCGGACGCCTCAGGCCATAGAGGCGTACGCCTCAGACACGCCTAAGGCGTGTCTGAGGCAAGGCGTGTCTGAGGCGTTAAGTGAGGCTGTTTAGGCCTTTTAGATGTTAGAAAGTCCAACTATTATTTGTTTAAGCCCAATACAAAAAAACCCAACCCAATGACCCAATAACCCTAGACTAGAATTAGAAGTCAGTGTAAGTAATTCAAAGAAACGGGAAGTGCGATTGTGCGAAGAGCCGAAGACTGCGAACTCACTGTGCGAGAGTGAAGTCTGCGACGCGACCTCCCCCCTCCGGCGACCTCCCCCTCTGGCGACCTCCCCCCTCCGACGACCTCCAAGTTCCGGCGACCTCCAACCCTCCAACTTTAGATTGTTATGCATTTGTTTGCTTTAGACTTATATTATGTTTGATGTTTTGTGGTGTGTTTCTTTGAGACCAATGAAACTTTTAGCTAATGAATATTAATCTTATATTTTGGTAAATTTTATGAATAATGTTTACAGGCTTACAGCTTACTAATATATTCTGAGGCTAAAAATTGAGGCTTACGCCTCAATACGCCTCGCCTCAAAATAGAAAACGCCTCAAGGCACGCCTCCGCCTTTTTAAACCTTGCCCACCATTGCCTTATCGTCTTATACGTTTGATTCATTGTCAACTAGATAATAGATAATGATCGTGGTGTGCACATGAGGTCGATGCCTGGGATGTTGGGTTTGATTGCATCTGGCTCTAAGGTACTTAATTTCCATCCTCTGGGTTCACTGAATTACATTGGATGGGTTTTAACTTTTCAGTCGTATATTGTACTCGATTGGAATACAGGAGACTTGCTTATAGATGCTGTGTTTGACTATGATTTCAATTTGAAAAAACGTTTTTGAATAATTGCTTTGTCCTGCTTGAATTTTCATCTCATTTTGATGTTTGAACCTCGTATCAATCTTGTTAGCTAACCATAGCCATAGGGTGTCTGAAACATTCTTGGCAAGTATGTATGATTGCCTTTATTTCCATTACTGTACTCAAGGTTCAACTTTCTATTTTTGGTTTCTGTGCTTACGGTCCCTTCATGTGATTGGAATAATAACAGCCACTTTCTATTTCTGGTCTCTGTGCAGGAGAAGAAGCAAGCAGCTCCAGTTAAGGGACCTGAAGTCAAAAGAACTAGAAGGGACCATGGAGAGCTGGAGGATATCATGTTTAAGCTTTTTGAAAGACAACCTAATTGGACCTGAAGCAGCTAGTCCAAGAAACAGATCAACTCGCAGTACCTGCACGGGCTTAGCTCAATGGTTTAGTGGGTAGTATTTGGGGTATGAGACCAAGGTTCGAACCTCGGCGGCGGCAGTGTGGGAATTATGTCCAAAGTGGGCAGATTCTTTGTGCGCACCGGCATTTGGCCCTGCCTACTAACCCATTGAGTGACCGTGATTTACATCCTCCCACATGCTCTATCGGGTCGGAGTGTGGGGGGCCCTTAAGGTTGGGGATTAAGCCTTTTGGGGTAAGATCAACTCGCAGTATGTTGTTTGATAATTGCATCCTAATTTATTCTTGCTTCGTACCTTTGATTTTATGATCGTATTCATATTAAATTAACCTACATAATTCGCTAAAAGAGTTAATCATAATCATAATAATTGATTTGACAATAATACCCTTAGATTTAACACCCATTTAACATAAATTTTAACGGAAGACTATTTATGGTAAAAAATGAAAGTCAAGTACATGTTTTGGTCGAGTTGAAATTGGGCTAAATTGAGTACTAGCCTAATAGTTAGTTGACCATTTGTGGTATTAACTCTTTATATTAAATTAAATATATTAAATATATTAAATATTTGTATATATATACTTCCTTACTCAATATTCCATATTAATATAAAGATAGATATTATTATAATTTTTAATTTTCAACCATTAGATCTACTAGATCAACTCACCTGATTATGGTATATATATATGGATTGGCAAGTAGGCCCCGTTTGGATAGATTGTCTTCATAATGAATTTTGTCATCTTCTTTCCCTGTATCTAATATTTAATCTCCAGTTGATTGCATGTGGTATCCATGGTATCTGTTTGATTGACCATAAGTACTAGACTACTAGATACTGATTAATGATTTATTAATAATATATCCTAAAACACTTCCCCAAGCTACTCGTAACTCTTGTTATCCTAAATTAGTTTCGATGGACTGGCATTGTTTAAATGACTTATTGTTATTCCTTTAATTTGCCGTAAAACAAAGCTAAGCTTCTTCTATCTGCTACAGTTCTACAGATCGATCATCTGATCTACTGGCCAGAGGGCATGTTCCAATTCTGGGTGGTGGGTCGGAGAGCGAATCCACAGCTTGTCATTCGGACTTAGTAGATATAACTTTTTGCATAGTGGTAAGACTTGATTTGACTATAAGAAATAAGGAATCTAGTATCCGGATTCGTATCTACTGAAACACACATTATCCTTTAGTGTTTGAACAATCCATAGAGAATGAATCTACTATGTGTGTATATAAGTGGCAACCTTAGAACACAATCATCAGAGCAATTCATATATTATAGTCACCGGCTTGAATACGTAACTAGGAAAGGTGAAGAAACATGTCTATGGTTCTTGTTGTTTACGATGGTTCCATGTGTCCTCGCCTCTTAAGCCTCATCAACTCAAAGTTTCAAGGTACGCATGCATGCATACGCATCGAATGAAACCCACCCTAGCTACGTACCCTAGTTTACTCAAGTTTCGGGTTTTTGTCAATCCTCTTAGCTAATTAAGCTTCTACAAATGCCTAGCTTCTTGTATTTATGAAATGCCGATTAACATTTCTTTATTGGCGCATATATGCAGTTGAAGTGAGGAACCCTTCCGAAGCTTTGGAAATCTTGCGAATGAGCAGGGGAGGAGCGCGAGGCTTTGATCTTGTTATTGCATATGCACACAAGTGTCAACCGAATGTCACTAAATTAAAAAACTTCATTAAAAGCGAATTTGATCAGCAGCTTCCAATAGTTTGTGAGCTAAATCATTTAATAGATTAATTTTAATTGGTTATATATATGCAATGTATGTATAGTAGTATGTACCTGGCTTTTTTCACTAATATATCTTATACTTTTTGTATATGTATAGGTTTCAAATGCATAGCAGTGGAGGGTTTTGATGAGCTAAACGGCATGCCAGCGTGTCATTTGATAGATAAATGGAAGTCAGATACAAAGCGCAAAGAATGCCAGTTGAAATGGACCGAACAACTCAATTTCATCTTCTTTTTGGCAGTGGATAGTCTTAGTTTACGTGGCGACGGTAAGAATTGAAGATCTATTCATTGTCACCCGCGGCCTCTTAGTTTTATTTATTATTGCAATAGTTATGCTGTGCAACCGTGTGCACCATGCATGGTGCACACGGTTGCAAAACGACGTCGTTTTGACTAAAAACGCGCGTCCCATTAAAAAAAAAATTCAGTTTCGATTCCCCTCAACAGCATTATGTTGTTCACTTATTGTGAATATTTAGTTCATTGATTGTGGATATTTAGTTAATTCATTGTGGATATTTAGTTCATTCATTGTGGATATTTAGTTCATTCATTTTGAATTTTGTGTTATTCATTCACTGTGGATATATAGTTATAAATTTGTGGATATATAGTTATGAATTTGTGGATATAAAATTCAAATTATGCACAAAAAAATGCTATTGCCGGGAATCGAACCTGATTTTTTTTTTTTTTAAGTGAGACGCGCGTTTTTAATCAAAACAACGTTGTTTTTGCAACCGTGTGCACCATACATGGTGCAAACGGTTGCACAGCATAATTTGAGCTATTATTTATCCACTCCAATTTCATGGCCGGGAGGCCACAAGTTGGTCCAAAACCTAATGGGTTGGCCCAATTGACATCCCTACCGGGAGCCGCCGTCATTCATCTAGACGGCATGCATGCATTACATTGAAAGTCAAAATGAATTTGTCTTTTTTCTTTTATTTTTAATATATATTTCAAAATTTCCTACACGCAGAAGTTACGGCAGGTCGGGTTTTGATGTGCATGAAAGATATTCAGCAGGGATTGCAATTGACGGAACGACAAGTCAACAGCCATCTGCAGGTATATTTACTTTTAATAGTGAATGAATTTTTAATACCTTCGTATGATGGAGTATATTAGATTATTATGAATAAATAATAATATATATAATTTGGGGTAATAATACGTACTCATCCTGCATTTTATTATTATGTTTTCATTATAACATATGCACAAACTTTTACCTATCTACCTAGCTTCAAAACATTATGGTCCTGTTTGGTAAAATAGTTAGTTTATTCGTCAATTTTGACTTGATTGATCACTATTAGTTGTTTGACATGATTAAATAACCAATATAAGTATTTGATTAATAGGTTTTTGTAACAGCTTATTGTTCCAAAACACTAAAATTCAAAAAGCTACTCAAAGCAGCTTTTTGAGAAAGTTAGTTTGTATGTAATAGTGAAACAACAATTTAACATTTGATTTGAAAATTTTCAGAAACATCGAAATTTCTTATCGAAATCGCAAAGGAAAAACAAACTTGCCAGAGATGTAGAGAAATTCCGGAAGCTTCAGAATGAAAACTTGGCAGACATGGGTCAAGCAATTACAGCCCAGATGCAGTTTACGACTGATATTGGAAGTAATGCTTATTATGCTAGTCAAAATCCGAACATGCCCATGTTTGATGGACAAGATTATTTCACTGGTGATCCTAACCAGGTATCTCTATCGTTCTGAATTAATGAATTGAGTGGGTTGTATAAATGACGAGTTTAAGCTCTAGCCCCCGACAAAACTAATATTTTGAATTTTGCAAACATTAACATTGTTGCAAGAAACTACAACCAAACAATGCTTCTTTTGCTAATCAAGAATTATTGATTGAAAATATGCAGCAGCAGGGGGTTAACGGATTAAGCTGTCCGATGAGTCAGAGTCATAATCTTCCTTTCAGAGTGATTGGAGGTAACAACTCATCATACCCTCCATATCCAACACAAAGCAATGAACAACAACAATTCCAAGCTTCATTGGTGTCTAATGGTGGCATGCAACATAATTCAAGTGCCAATTATTACCTGGTTAATGTTACTAATACTGTTGTTGACAATCAACTTAATATTGATCATTGCCCTCTCACTCAGGTATTATTAACCTTATCGATCAATCCATAAATTGAATTATATATCATGAATGGTATCCCATATTTTATTCTTCTTACAATTTCTTATTTTAAAATTGTCAATTAAATAATATATCATGTGAGTATTTAATTTTTGCAGCAAATTTCCAATGGATTTGCAATGGATAATAATTACAATGGAAGTGTTCACACTCAGCCATTGCAAGACTATTCTCTGTGCGGTGGTCCGTATGCCCAAGTCAGTCTATAATGTTTATTTGTTTAATATACTTCCCTTATTTAAAAAAAAAAATTGGTGAATATTAGTAGTAAATTAATGAGACTTATTTCTTTTGCTTTTACTATATATAATATAATATAATATAATATAATGGTGAATTTTAATAAAATTTCAACCCAACTGTCTTTAACCATTACAATCTTAATTAGATTATTAATTATGAAATTTAGCTAGCTAGCTATATAATGCACAGCCCCATAAGTGGCACGATAGGTAATTCACAATTCTTACTCGAGGATAGTTCTCATTTGTGTCAACATTGCTGTTTTATGAAAACAACGTAACATTAACCAAGAAATTGGTGTCTATATGCAGGATATGGCGTCAATAGCGCCATGGCAGCAGATAAACAGTAACAGTGAGTTGCATGATGTTGTTGGGACATCTCAACAACAAAGTCTCAACCAGCATTACTCACCTCAGGCATAGCCAATCTCCTAATTATCTTTCATGTTTTTTTTTTTTGGATGAAACTAACAAAGCTCAAATTTTATTGTAATATTATTTTGGTTTTGATTTTGTTGTAGCTTGACTGGCGATTCTAACGTGGATTGGATTTATCTGGATGAGCTGAAAATGATGATTGATAAATGACTACCTAAATTTTAATTTCACATGTCTCCATCTGTTACAAGTGAACTTCAATTCGTTGCAGACTCTTCTTTATCTTGTTTTGTTAATGTAATTTATCTTTATTTGTTAGTTTAAAAGCTTTTTAATTACTGATCAAACTTAATTTTATATTATATAATCCATTTTTCCGCCAATAGTTTATGTGTGGCTAATAACAATAATGTTGGTTTTTGGGCCTAGGGAGGTCCCACACAACCGTGGTTGGTGGATTCACCGTTTACAATGCGGCTTATAGAAAAATGAGTAGAAAAAATATAACTCAATGCTTTTGTACTTGGAAACCGAAAGGTGAAAACCACAGGCTTTTTGGGGCACTGCCAAGCCAATACTTTCACTATTCTTGTAGCTATTGGTACATAGTATATGGTTATTTTGTGTATGTAACATTGTGTAGAGATAGAGCTACTATACTTTGTATATAGAGAGGGAGTATTCTTCATGCGTGGGAGAGTGGTAGAGTCCTCTCATATGGAGTCTTCTTCATGTGGTCTTCTTGCTTAGATGAGTGGAGAGTGGTTGTGGAAGAGTGCATTCTCTTTGGGAGAGTGATGAAGTCTTCTTGGGGATGAAAGAATAGTGAGTGGTAGGATAGTACTTGAGAGAGTCTTCCCACATGTAGATGCATGAGTGACCCCCTTCCTTGTGCTCTTCTTCTCCTTCTTATAGCTAGCCAACCACATAGTGTCCGTTAGACCATTTAGTATGGTATTGATGGGTAGTAAATGGGGTAACAAATGGTAGGTTATGATGAGGTAAGTAAATATGTGTTTTAATAGGACTTTAAGGGTAGATAATTAGGGGGGTTAGGAATTGAGGGGTAATAATTAGGAGTTTAATATGGGCTAACGGCTAGTTTAGGCCGATCTTCTACCCGTGTCGATTCCACACTCGCGCCGACTTCCGAGTCTAGCCGACTCCTCGGTTTGGCTCATATCTCTTTTAGACTTTTCCTCACCTGGACCTGGCCCTTTCTCCTCCTGGACCTCTCTTCCTCTGGGCTTGATCCCCTTTTTTTTCTTGGGCGGCGGGCCCACGGGATTCACACCCCATCAACTAGTCCCTCACTTTTCAATATTGAGCCCTCTCTAGCTCGAATGTTGGAAAGTATCCGTCTTCTTAATGCAAATTGCTTAAGTCACTCCTCAATCTCCTCTTTTTAATGATCGGATTACAGCCGAATCCTCTGTGATCTCCTTGATTTCATCCTCATGACTCCTCTTTGCTATATAACTGACTGCTTCAGTAGAGGGGACCCTCTGACTTCGAGCCCCTTTTTCTTCATCCGTCGAATTGACTCTCAGCTGTCACTTTTCTTTCCTTGATAAACTTCTAAGGGTTTGGACCCTCGATTCTTTTTTTATTCACCGAGTCCCTCAGTCGATGTGACTTTCGGTGATAGCTTCTTTTTTCTCTAAGAAATGCCTAGGGTCGGAACCCTGGTTTCTTTTCTCTTTTTCTCTAAGAAACGTCTAAGGGTCGGAACCCTTGTTTCTTTTCTCTTTTCTTGCTGAGTCCCTCAGTCGAGGCAACCCTTTAGGCTTTTTCTATTTCAGAAACAGTTTAGCGTCAGTGCCCTGTCGTTTCGCTCTTTTCTTGCTGAGTCCCTCAGTCGAGGCAACCCTTTAGGCTTTTTCTATCTCAGAAACAGTTTAGGGTCAGTGCCCCGTCGTTTCTCTCTTTTCTTACCGAGTCCCTCAGTCGAGGCAACCCCTGTAGGCTTTTTCTATGAAACGGCTAAAGGACAGTGCCCTTTGTTTCTTTCTTTTCTTGCCGAGTCCCTCAGTCGATGCGATCCTTTAGGCTTTTTCTATCTCAGAAACAGTTTAGGGTCAATGCCCCGTAGTTTCTCTCTTTTCTTGCCGAGTCCCTGCTCGAGGCGACTCTTTTGGCTTTTTCTAAGGGTCCTAACCCTTGTTTCTTTTTTTTTTTTTCTCGCCGAGTCCCTGCTCGAGGCGACTCCTGTCTACGATTCTTATTCTCTGAGTAAACTTCTTGGACTCTTGGTTCTTTTACTAACTCGAGTGACTCTCAGTTGTAGCTTGACTATTCAATATATAAAAGAGTAATTAAGGCATAGATCAACTCGCACAATTGAATGTTAACTCTATTGGTTACAAATGAGTGTTTGTACGAAAGATAAACAAAAACAATGAGGTAGTGTGATATAAAGCGAGTTCTGTAGCCAAGGGTTCACGTAGAGACCTATAATTGATTTTGGTAAAATAGATGACATTAAGTTCCGCTACATAATATGATTGGCAGAATAACAAATTTAGATATGCAACTAATATTTATTTCGAAAAGTCTATGAAGGATTTAATGTTCTCAAAAATGAGAAAAATAAAAATTACAACATGTATAATATTAAAGAGTAAATACCCAAAATGGTCCCTCGACTATAGCTAAATTCACAAATTGATCGACTTTCAATTTCAACCAATTAAGTCCTTAACTTTGTAATTTTAACACAATTTCAATTTCAACCAATTTCAAATCGTGTCAAAATTACAAAGTTAAGGACTTAATTGGTTGAAATTGAAAGTTGAGGACCAATTTGTGAATTTAGCTATAGTCGAGGGACCATTTTAGATATTTACTCAATATTAAATTACAAAGGTCTTTATATAACCTGAAGAGTTAATAATTGATTAAGTGTTTTTCTTCCTAAAGAAAGAATATATAGATAATATGTGTCGTTATGTGCTCATTAAGGAGTTCCTGATGGAGCTATTTATCTATAATTTTAGGGGCCAATTTGAAAATTGCCCATATTTACCTAAATGGACTTTATTTTAAGCTCAAAAATGATTTTTTTTTTCTTTTATTACAAAGATGGACTAAGGTAGCGTCAAAATTAAGGCGAGTCGTAGGTTGCATTTGAGCTCGGCGATGTTGAGAATCCAACAAATGTCGGATTTAGCTGCTTGGTAAATTCTGGTCTTAAATCTTTCCAAAACGGGTCTTAATGGTCCATTTCAGTCTTTCAACATCGAAACAAAGCAAAGAATTGGAAAAGAAAAATCGAACGATCAGACAACACAGTTGAAGAAGAAGAAGAAATGGAAGAAGACGATGGTAGCGTCAGCGACACCGCCGCCGCCGCCGTGGACACCGGCAAGGCTGATGAAGTGTCCTCTAGTCGTCTCCAAGTCGTGGCAGTCTCAGGCGGCGGCGTCCTCCTCCGCAGATACCTAAAGGCTACTGGTTGAATATGTTCAAAGATTTTGTGCATCTCAGAGTCAAATCAAGGTGAAAAAATCCCGCCCATTTGATAGGGCACCGTTTGGTTAAATTACTGTCTTGGGGTTTTAATTACTGTCTTTTCAACCTAGAGCCACTCAAAATTTTGAAAATGGTTTGTTTATACCATTTTCCAATGCACGTCACGTGGTTTGTGTATAAAATTTTTCAATGCCAGTCATCCATTTAACTTCCCAAGATTTTTGAATTATTTTTTGTTATACAATTTATCATCTATAAATATTTAATGTTTCATAGAGAAACCCCACTCCAAAACGTGCTCCTTTAAAATATTTATAACTGATTATACAGTGATTCTCATTTCTGTTGAGGAAAGAAGAATTGGGAGAGGCAAATCCTATACAACAAAAACAAAAATGTTAGAATTTTTTTTTTTTAAGAGAGTATGTTAGAATTTCTTTTTTTAAGAGAGAAACTTCCTCCTTTTAAATATTTGTACACCGATAGTGATTCTCATTTGTTTTGAAAAATGGAGAACTGGGGGAGGCAATACCCCTTTTCTTTTAAGGGAATCAACAACACACCAAGGACTCTCAAGAGGTAACTCAGTACTTCTTCCATTAATTATTTTGATTATCCAATACAAATTTTAATTGTTTAAGATATATGCATTATAAATTAACCTGCATGTTTATTATTTGTAATTATCTGTTGTATTCTATAAATGTATGCAATATGCAATAGTAAAAAATTTTCTGTTTATATATATATATATGCATTTGAATCACACTATCTACATACATTTTACAGCTTCAACAAACTTAAAGTAATATGAAGAAGATCACTACTTCAACCGTTATTAGAAGAAAAAGAAAACAATATTTTGACAATAAAGGTTGGTTCATCTTGCTATTATTTTCTGTATGTTCTAATTTTTTTTATTTTTTAGTATGTCTTTATGAGGAACTCACGGAAATTGTATAAAATGAGGCAATGAGCTTACTCCAGATCTACCATTTGGACTATACATATATATCATATATTCTAACAGTCTTAAGAATCTTAGAACATTTTCCATAAGCGGCAATATGGCATACCTGCTTAGCAATTGTAACATTTGCGGCACTATCCAAGACTATTTTTATGTCTGACCTTTATCTTAATTTTAACTATAACTAAAACATACAAGTCCTGTTTGGTAAAATGGCTGTTAACTGATAACAACTAATGTGTTAATTAGATGGTATAAATAGTTGATAACATTAGCTGAGGGTAGAAAAGTGTTTGGTAAATTAGCTGTTAGCTGATAGCGGTTTGGTATAATTTCTTTTTTCTCAAAAAGCTAATTGAAAAAGTTGCTTGGAGTAGCTTTTTAAATTTTAGCATTTTAGAGTTGCAAAAAGCTAACTAACCAAACATTTATATTGATATTTTAACTAAATCAAACAATTAATAGTGATCAAATAAGCCAAAATTGGTCTATAAATCAATTTTTTACCAAACAGGGCCAGTCTTTGAAAAATCTGCGTAGGAAAATGTTGATAAAATAATATAACTTAAAATCTGCGTAGGAAAATGTTGATAAAATAATATAACTTTTACTCTTTCAACAATAGTATCAAACTCAAGACAGTTTGCAACTTCCAACAGAATTGCAGCTCCTATTGTCATGCATGCTCCAGATTTACAATTACCATATCTTGTGAATACAGATAGATGTACTTGTGAGTGGAGTGGCCGAGTGGGGTTGTCGGGGCAATTTATATGGTGCACCAGGGCGCGCATTGCATTGTGCGTTCCGATGCAAAACGACGTTGTTTCAATTCTTTTTTGTGTTTTTTTTTGAAATTTCACTACCCTGTGTTGGCGGTTAATTTTTTTTAAAAAAAATCTCATGTTAAAAA